GTTTGGCTGAAGTGGGATTTATGTGCAGGTACAAGAACTGTTCATCTTCCTGTCACTTGTTGAAATACAGCCCAAGAGAGTAGCAACCAGTAGCAATTTTCATGCTGTCCTGTACACACACAAAGTTGTTAGACCTTTCTCTGTATATTCCTCAGAAAGAACCAATTTCTACTGGTTTGGTCATACTACACAAGCAGGCCTTTCAGGGTGGCATGGAAGGGAGCCTTGTTGGTGTGACTCTGAATCTCAGCAGCTTCTTAGTAATAAGCATACACTCAAATTCAGAGGGCTATGTTAGCAGGGCAGTAGCTTCCCAGTATAGCCACAAGACATTTACAAGGTTTAATAAGAAGCATTTCCAAACAACATTTGGATGAGTTCAGGGGTGTTTGGTCACTGGGAAACTTTTGGTATATTCTTGGATTTTAGCACATTATCTTGAAAATGTTCCAGTTTGACAGTGTGTGAAGGCCAGTCTGCAGGGACTGCCTGGGTGACTTAGTTGAACTGAGAGACAGGCCGCATTTCAGGAAGAAGGTTCAGACAATGAAGGCGGTTCTGTTGCCTTGTTTGAACACATTTCTCCCTGAAGATGTCACAGTTTGAAGGTTTTCTTTGTGACCAAAACAAACAAAAGCTTTTTGGACTTTCTGAGCAGAGGTCATGTTTATTTACCGCGATGTGACTGAAAGGGGAAAACCACAAGATGCATTTATCTCCTCCATTTCTAGCTCAAAAGGGGAAATTAAAGGAAAGAAAGCTTGGAAGATTTACTGGATGCCTTAGGGTTTCTCATTCCACTGAAGTGATCATAGAATCATAGAATGGTTTGTGTTGGAAGGGACCTTAAAGAACGTTTAATTCCATCCCCCTGCCATGGGCAGGGACACCTCCCACCAGACCAGGTTGCTCAGGGCCCCATCCAACCTGGCCTTAAACACCTCCAGGGATGGGGCATCCACAGCTTCACTGGGCAACCTGTTCCAGTGCCCCACCACCCTCTGAGTAAAGAATTTCTTCCTGGTATCTAATCTAAACCTACCCTCTTTTAGTTTAAAGCCATTCCCCCTTGTCCTATCACCACACTCCCTGACAAAGAGTTCCTCCTCAGCTTTCCTGCAGCACCCCTTTAGGACTGCAAGGCCGCTGGGAAGTCTTCCCCAAGCCTTCTCTTTTCCAGGCTGAAGAACCCCAACTCCCTCAGCCTGCCTTCATAGGAGAGGCACTCCAGACCTCTTTGTGGCCCTCAACTGGACTTGTTCTAATACGTCCACATCCTTCTTGTGCAGCGTGCCCCAGAGCTGAACGCAGTGCTCCAGGTGGGGTCTCACAAGAGCAGAGCAGAGGGGGACAATCCCCTCCCTCATCCTGCTGGCCTCACTGCTTTTGATGCAGCCCAGGATATGGCTGACTTTCTGGGCTGCAAGCACACATTGAATTATATAATATGATTATTGCAGGATTCCGCTCAATAACTCTAGAATTATTTTCAAACAGGTTTTCCTCCTTCACACACATTGTGAATTTGAATATTGCCTTGAGTAAGCATTTGATTTCTCTTTTTCCCCCTTAGGAACCAAAATTGGTTTCAGTGTCTAAACAAAGTGCCTCACTGCTATATGCATTGCAGCCAGGGAAATAAATCCAGAAGACTTTACCGTGTCAACATTTATAAAAATCTAGTTCTAAACATGTCCAAGCTTTAAAACCTCAGCAGCAGTTCGAAGCTTTGCCTGTTTGCTGGCCTGCTGCCTTCTGCTCTAAGCAGTGCTGAGAGCTGTGTGTCTCATTGTTGTGGCCAGCGTTTATGCTGGCATGCTCTGAGTAACTCCTGCTCAAACCCAATGATGACATTTTATTAAAACATGGAGTTATCACCATAGTCCCACATAAGGCCTGAGGAACCTAACTCTGACAGTGGTGTGTATTTTCAGTTCAAAGCCTGCAGCCAGGAGATTATTAACCCCCCTGCTGTGACAAAATTCTCCCGTCCCAAAGTCTAACTAATGGGAAAACATGCAGCTCTCCCACTCTCCATTTTATGCAGGTGTCAAATAATTTACCCCACATTCTCAGATTGATCAAAGGACTTCCCCTCACACACCCAAACCCACCACCATGAGGTTTTGCATCTGCATCAACTGCTGGATGAAAGATAGGTGACTTGGGCTTTTTACACTCTATAGGCAGTAGCAGAAGACTACAAGAAATCAAAAACTAAGGTTTTTCACCCCACTTCTGAGTTCTCAAATGTCTTGTGCCTAACTGTCCACCCAGCTGATAAGGCTTTTCATGGACAGGACATCACACAGCACTTCTTGCCAGGATTTTTCACCCTCTATGAGGTATTAATTCATATACAAATTCCGTTTAGACACTCAAGACAGTTCAAGGAACAGTCCCACAGCAAGTGATGGTGTTATTGCACAGAAGCAGCACCAAGTACTAGATACACATGATAGCAACGAACAAAGTTACCTATCTGAGACTCCACCAAAAAATTAGAGTGTGTTTTCACATATAACCAGGCTTGCACAAAATGGGAAGTGAACTCCAAAGTTCATCTCCAAAAATACAGGCTCTGATAAATCAGATAAGCAACAGTATCGTGACAGAGGTCCAGATACACTTCAGGAGGTCCAGTGTCTCTTATGGCATATACCACTCTGCAGAACTGTATGTTAAGGGAGAAAATGTAGATTCTCTATGCAAGGGAATAAAGCCAGTATCTACAGCACATAAAAAAATAAAGTTCCAATACTGTTAAGAGTTGAGGGGAACAAAGCAACGCCTCTCTTATTTCTAATTCCACAAGGTAATGGTGTTAATATTAATGAGCCAAGAAAACCCTTGCCACTCATTTTCAAATGTTCATTCGTGTTCTGCATTCTGCATCAAATCCTTCATCAACTTGAAGGTTCAAAGGCTGCAAGGGAGACAGGGTTACTCAGGGCTACAAGCAAAGAAATAATGTAGTGCTTTAATCACAGACCATCCCTAAGTGGAAACCATAAATTAAATATCTACACCTATAATTTCTTGAGAAATGTTATGTATTTTACAGAATGATAATTTCAATTCTGAGTAGACTTTATCAATGTCTACAGGTGTTTTAATTATCTGTTGGTATATACTTAAGTGATAGTTTGATGGAGCATGATCTACAGCACTAATAAAAAATATTGAACTATAGCTCTAGAGTACCTTACCATTAAGTCATAAATCCCACTTCAATAGGAACTATTAATGTGACTTTTTTTTGTGTGTGTGATTTAATGCAGTATGGCTATTTTATGCTAAATTTAGCTTTCCCACATGAGGCTCATAAACCAGAGAGCATACAAAAGAATGATGATAAACCATTCCATCATACATAAATGAAAAAGACACATCTCTCTCAAAGATTTAGATGCTGGATATCCTTGACCAATCCCCTCTTCCCCCACTCCCTTAATTTGTTGATCTTAAAGACCTCACACTTGTTGATTTTAAAGACCTTAGAGACCTTACACTTTGTTTCAGTTTGAGTTCCAAATACTCACACACCCGGAACATTATTATGAACATAGTGCTGACATTGGTGAAATTCATGAAATATTTTCAACACTTGACACTTAACTTTTTAGTAGTGGTTTCTGAAAGCTTTAAGTGACAAATTCAGGGCTGCAGCCTGGAGGAAGCAAATGAAGCAAGCTGCTCTACCATCCCGTGAACAGGCAACTCTGTCATACAGAGTGATGTGAAGACAATCACCACAGTATTTTTGGACTCTGACTATTCCTGTGCCAAATGTTTGCTGTCAAATCATTTATAAGGATTATAATGAGAAAGTTGAATCACTGAATATGTTTTTTTGAAAATTACGAAGCTTTGCATCTTCCAGAAAAGTTACTATTGTACAAGGAGGTGTGTAACAAAATAGACATTGTGCTTTATCATACTAGAAATACTACAAATACTTGACTAGAGCATCAAACAGACAAAATTTGAGAAAAATTTACAGTTACTATCCAGCTGACAAAATCAAGGTCTAGTTTGTGATGACAAACCTCGTGGATTTGGTATTATTGTTATGTTACTGACCTAGGTCCTTTCAGCTGTGTTTGGCCTGTGTTAATGAGTCCCATTACTTTGTTTTCATGATGTTAATGGCAACAACAATAATTTTTAAAAGGCAAATATCAGCTAACACAGAGCCATCTTGAGTTTGTTTTATGGCTGTGCATCTAGAAATATTTGTTACAATTACTCACGTAGCTGGGGCAGCTGTATGCATCTTATTTTGCTGTTTTAGGAACTGTGCTATTTTGGGCAAGCCAAACAAGCCTTTGAATAAGTGGCTTTAGTGTCTCACTTGGTAGATGGCAAGAGTGACTAAATGATTAAATGGCAAAAATAGCAAGCTAGTAGTTATTATCAAATTTTTAGGTTGTCATAGAATAATGACGGCACACAGCTTTTGCAAGAGGGAATTATCCAGCTTTGCTAGTCAATTCTGAAGCCAAACTCCAAATTTGCTTGTTTGATTGGGTTGGCATTCTTCCCTCAGGGCCTCGAAAAAGCTTCCATAAGCTTTCATTGGCCTAAATCAGAAACATCTGTCAAAGAGCATGAATCACTCATTGGTTGAAATCAACAATCAGAAACCTGCACAAAGGCAGATTTTTTCCCCCCAGATAGGTGACAAAGCATATGCCATTATTACTCTGCACATCAACCTGCATATATATTTTGTTGAATTGCTAATTCAGTCCAAGTCTGAATCTTACTCCAAGCTCCCATAGTGATGTTTTAAAAGTGAAATTAAACACCCTACACATTTCTGTCCTCCTTCAAACTGGTGTTTTGTTATTCTTCTTAACAGTGCATATATGTATTAGAAGTTCCAAAAAGCTAAGGGGAAAAAAAAGTCTTACAGACCCTAAGAATAGCTGTAATTCAGTGGAAACATAAACTTAAAACAAACAATTTATTTTCCGTCTCATGCTCTTCTGTTTTAGATGCAGAGAGTTGATTTAGAGCATTCTGTGAACCCACTTCTGAACCCAAAACAAGGCCCCAGCTACAGGTAAGAGCTATATCCCTCTGAAAATAAGCACAAATACAGAGGACTATTTAGCACATAACTGTGAATTGTCCATGCTAGGGTATGTTTGGCCGGCCATGCTAATTGCATCCAAAACCCCACGCCCACACTTCTGCTGGCATTGCTCCATCTCCCCATTTACTACAGCTCTGCCTCTATCCCTCTAATAGAGTCTGGCAGATTCTCCAATCCTACTATTTCTAATCCTGACATTCCTTTGCCAAATTGTGGAGCCAGCTTGGGGAAAAGGAAAACAAAACAAAGCAACCATCATCTTCAGCTGAAACTCACCCGCCTGCATGGCTTCCTTCCAACATGTATGCCAATGCCTGGTTGCTCCTGGAGCTACTGCAGGAGTTGGAAACTTGAGGGGAAGAAAAAATACACAACAGGCTAAGAAATAAATGTGTTAGTGGCTTCAAAAGCAACAGCCATCTGTTTTCCTTACTCCCTGGCAGCCACCGAAGCTCCCTGCAGTGCGGATGGAGATTTGGCAGATTTTTGTAACCCTGTTGAGCTTTTACTATCCCTACCAGCATCCCCTGCTGCTTCTCTGCAGACCCTTAGACCAATTATACTTTGACTTTTTCCTGCAGCAGCAGCATTGCCGATACAACCTTACAGTCAGGAGCACGTTAATCACAAATACCTTGTCAGAAAGTTCAACTACCGCTTAAGCAATGAAAGTGCTTAAATTTGGAATTACTATGATGTTGCAGCCATTCTGCATCCAAACCATAGGCAAAATGGTTTAAAAATATAGCTGAGGAAGAGTTTACACCTTCGAAAATGAACATGCTTAGCTCTGTGATAGCACAGTCTGACCTATATCACCCCAGATGTGAAGAAATTTTGTTTCCAACAATGTTACAATTTTACCTTGTTATAATTTTATCTTGTTATAATTTCCAACTATGGATACAACTTGGAATTTTTATTTGCATAATGTTTCCTTCCTGTGCAGAAGGTTGCCAAGAAAAAAGAGAATGAAACCTGTCACACAAATGCAACAGAGGATTCAGGGACTTTATTGTCAAGTAGATTTGAACTGACTTCAATGTATTTCATTGCCATAAAATCAGAATAGAAATTACCTTCATGTTTATTATTAATATTTCTCATCATGATTTTCTATAAGTCAAATTTAAGAAAACAGCAAGTATTAGGAAAACACAGTAGAGAAAAGAATGTAAGAATATACATCACCCACAGTAAAAAAACAGCTGCCTACAACCACAATCTTCCCTTAGAGTAGCAGCTTTTCAGTACCAGTTCTTAAAGGCTGTTTCTGTTTTCAGTTATCACAGTTTTAATATAACTTAAAATCACTTCCTAGAGACTTAGTTATCCGGATTTTACAAAGCGTTATGTGCTTTGGGGAAAACCAGAGCTCTGCATACAGTAATCTGTTGTGCAAGAGCAGCTGGTGTGGCTTACATAAAATGGCAAATAGCCCAATGCAATAAAATGTAAGCATGTTCATAGCAAGAGCAACTATTGGCATAGAACAGATGCCAGAATGTGTTTCTACTTGGATCACAAATAATATGATAAAAGATAAACAGGTCATAATGAAGACAAAACAACAGGATACATTTCCATAAATATGGGGGTGACAGATTCTCTTTAAAATTTAAATTTTCTTATTTGTTTATTATATTATATACATATATTATACATATATTTAGTGCTCTGAGTTACAAGGTCAGTGCTATCACCCAGATCTAAGCAAGCTGAAGGCCAATTAGTTAATCTGTCAGTCATCTTCACTGTGTTTGTTGTTTTTTAACATCAGCATCAAAGCAGAACTAGCTAAACAGGACATGGAATCAGTGAATATTTATATATATTTGGGAATATCCTTTTTATCGAAAGAGAAAGAAAGAAAGAAAGGAAGGAAGGAAGGAAGGAAGGAAGGAAGGAAGGAAGGAAGGAAGGAAGGAAGGAAGGAGATTGTTCAAACATAGAATCATTTAGGCTGGAAAGACCTTCAGGATCGTCAAGTCAAACCATCAATATGACCTACCGAGTCCTATCACTAAGACATGTCCCTTAGTACCACATTTGTTCTTTTCTGACTAGTGCTGCAGTACCTTTAACCACAAGGTACACTTGGATCACAGATTACTAAATGCTCTACTCCTGTATTAGCAGAAGGCTTGGAAATGGCTGCATCTCAACGGTAATATGCATTGTATAAATATAAAGTAGTTGACACTTTACAAGAAGGATTTCTATGACATGGATGATGGAAAAGATGTGACCTGCTCAGGACTCCTGAAGCTACTGAAATACAGACTAAAAATAATAACAATAATCTCCATCACATCTGGATCCATTCTATCCATGGAGTTAGTGGCAGTTTTATCACTGACTGCAGAAGGTAGAGTTCCAGGCCCTATGTTTTCCATGCACCTGCAAAAAGAAAAATGATCTTATGAAAATTCCATATGCTGTCAGAAGACTTCAGTCTGTGCCAGAGACCTGAGATATCTTCACTTGGTTGTTTGATTTGATTTCCTTTTTTCTGAAGAAGGTCTTCTCATTTTCAGTTCATTTCCACCTCCCTGGAAAGAGGCTAATTTGTTTGTTTGATGGACATTATTTGAAGACTATTTGTTTGGGTTTAAGTGTTACCCAGGAATTGGACTTGATGATCTTTTTGGGCCCCTTCCAACTCAGGTTATTCTATGATTATAAGTTCTAGAATAAATCTGACAACAGATTTGATTGCCCAAGAAGGGGACACGGAACAGTACTGTACAGCCATTCTTGGGCTTTCCCACCAAGCCTCTGGGAAGAGAAGGGTGTTCAGAGGAACAAATGCACTCTGCAGAGAAACAAACAGAAGTGTTTTTTTTAAATTTTCAGCAGCTGAGACTTCCAGCACACATGAGCCACCTCTGCTTGTATATAGAAACACCTACACAGCACATCAGAGCCCAAGGACAGAAAGTTATACTTTGCATGTGTATTTCTGTGTGAACAAAAAAAAAACAGAGAAACACACAGTTTAGCATGAACATTATGGTCTGGATTGTGGTTTAGAGGCTTAGCCCTTTCTCACTTGTCAGGAGGAATGAGGAGTTGTTCTGCTGGTATTTTGGTATTTTAGCACAAATGCCTCCTGGGGCTTAAAAAACATTTCCTGTAGCAACAAGGACCTGATAGGTTCAATGGGTGCAGTTTGAACTTGGCACTTACCAGCAGATCTAGCACAAGCTGTAAAAGAATGGGGCTTGGGACCATAAACCTATCACCCTCCGCAGGCTCATAGCTTTCCATGCTGCCTCTTCTGTCACAGATCCAGTGTACATCTGACCCTGCTTAGGAAGAACATCTTTTCCAGCAGAGATCCTGCTCCCCAGGAGAAAGTGAAGGAAATATTCCTTGAGCTTACTCTATTTTAAAGCGTTCAGATTACTGATATAGCTACCAGCTGCTATGATAGTTTGAATAATATAAACACCTGCCTGCTGCAATGAGACAACCAAAGCAATAGACATTTGGCCACAATACAGCTGGAAATTACTTTTCAGCACTACAGAACCAGTTTGTACAGTTACAAACAAGTAAGCTGTAGCTAAAAGATAGGATAATCCTTTTCTGGTCTGACAGCCATCCAATCTTCTGGATGCATATATGTTTTTTAAATGGTCACTTTAGCTCTGCATTGCAGTTTGTTTGAAGCCAAGAGCTTATTGCCGTAAGAAAACTGCATTCCTTTGGGTTAATATTTCACTTGACAGGAATCTTTTCTGGCTGGAGATTGACTATGCAAACAGGTTTGTATCTCATTGTTTCCAGGAACAAGAATTTTTCAAACCCTTCTCATACACAGCTGAATCAAAACTTATACTACCTAATTCTGTGCCTTCTATTTAAATCCATAACTCCAAATGTACTCCTTTCTCTAAGAATGATTATTTACATTAGTTACATACTATTGAACTACCGTGTATGTATATTAGTAATAGATTGGATACCGTAAAACCATATGGTTTCAGAGGGCATACATAAAAAGCGATGAGGATTATTTGGTCTCAAGGGGACAAATCCCTTTCTTTTCCATTTGGGACTATCTTACCTCACTGTGTCTAGTCCCATGTCAGGAAATTTATCTTCCAGCTACATTTATTAATATCTTCTCTGAGTAACATACAAGACAAACATAACATAAAACAAAAATATCACATGTTGCTACATTACCTAATCTTTTATTCCTGTCTTACAATATGTGGGTCACTAACAAAGGCATGTGCCTTTCTTCTGAAAGCTTTTACATGGGTGACCACAGTTCATGTCATACTTTACATATTGTGGGCAGTGAAACAACTCGGGTTTTAAGCTCCTACTTTTTACTTTTACTTTTGTTTTCCAGAATTAACTATAAGGAGGTATACCAGAAGTTTGGGCATTAAGCTGAGAATAGAAACACTGGAAAAATAATAATAGAGTCAGAAAAGCTAGTAAGCAAATCAAGTTAGTAAGATGAATAAAGCCAATGAATCACAGAGAAATTGTAAACTACATGTTGACAAGTAGGGTTTGTTTTTAGAATGCTTTTGCATTTTGTAGAATGCTTACTTCTCTTTCAGTGTGCCCCTAACAGCAAATCTTTACTGAAAAATGTGTAGTGAACATTAACAAGGTGTTTGCTTCAACATCTTTCTAGGCCAAGTATACTTCACCTACAAAACCTCAGTTCAGCTCTGTTCAGGACTATTGCTCTTTGGCTTCCAAGACGATGCATCATCCATTACCCAGCAGCAATGCTGAAAAAAAAGCTAGAACAAACTATTATTCTGTATCACTTACAAATAATACTAATCATAAATACTTGTGATACTTGTGATATACAATTATATATCAGAAAAAAAAATCTAATATTAATTATTCGTAGGACTAACCTTAGAACATCTCTTCAAAACATAACTAATTACCTCTCTTCTGCAATGTGTCAGCGATAGAGTTAAGAAGAG